TGTGGCTATATAGGTAATATTTTCATGTACACAATTTAGCAAAATCAGAAAATATTGTGTCTAATATATACCACAATATTAACTTCTTATTATTGAATTGTTGTAAATAAATATCACATTTGCAACTGGTCAGTGTTCAAAAAATGCTGGGAAATCATTTCATGTAGCCCTACAAGAGTGATTACTGATAAACTGTCTGAAAAAAAGAAAGTCACGTTTGAGAGAAGACAAAAATCACCCACTGACTTTCAAAGCTGCTACATAGTAACGACTTTCTACTTCGAGGACCTTGATAGAAATGTAGTGGAGTGAAAAGTACATTATTTGTCTTTCAAATGTAGTGAAGTTAAAGTTATAAGTTCCCAGAAAAAATAATACTCAAGTAAAGTACCGATACTCAAAAAGTATACTTAAGTACAATACTCAAGTAAATGTATTTAGTTACTGTCCGCCTCTGACCATATGTGACCCTGGACCACAAAACCAGTCATAATGATTTATACAATAACGGAAGCTGAATAAATAAGCTTTCCATTGATGTATGGTTTGTTAGGATAGGACAATATTTGGTCGAGATTAGGGCTGCACGATAAATCGCATGCTACATGCATCTTGTCAGTAAAGCCGCTTCTGTAATCAGCGGTAAATCTCCATCACGTGCGTGCTTTCACATTGAGCAGCATTAACTACACAGAGCTGTTGTTCACTGACGAGACATATATACATTAAACCCAAACTTTCTAAAGCATGCACTGCATATAATATGATCACAAAGAAAGTTTCCCTGCTAAAATAATAATGCTTTAAACCAGCCCATGATGTTTTGCTGGTCCCAAGTTCGCAGCATAATCAAGGCAAGGCAAGGGCAAGGCAAGTTTATTTGTATAGCACATTTCATACACAATATTAAATTTAAAATAAATGTATGCATTTAGCAGACGCTTTTATCCAAAGCGACTTACAGTGCATTCAGGCTATACATTTTTTACCAGTATGTGTGTTCCCTGGGAATCGAACCCACGACCTTTTGCGCTGCTAACGCAATGCTCTACCACTGAGTCACAGGAACACTTATATATCTCACACACACACACACACACACACACACGCACACACACACAGTTTTATGCTATAAAAATATACAAATATAATCAATTAAAACGCAAAAAGGCAACATATAGGGATATAATTTACCGATCTCGCCGCAAGGTGGCGATGGAGTCCGCAGAATGCAATGCACTGCATTCAAATCCAGTGGATGAGTAACGTTAGCGATTTGAAGACATTGTAAACGATTATTATTAGTGCTTATTATTGTTCATACTCCGGGTTAATCATATAAACAATCTCCTAACCATAAGTATAAACGCCCATAGACGCTCCACACCGTTTGATTCCAGCAGAACAGTGATTCCTCAAATCGTGCTTATTTTATTTATTTATTTTGAACTGATGCTAATGAAAAAAACCAGAAACCTACACTGAATGAGGGACTCGAGGCATATTTTGAGATCAAAATATCATAGACTTGATGATGGACTCATTTGACTTAGCAGCAACATAGCAACGTCCTGGAAACCAGTGGAAACTTTATATTACCAACGAGTTTCGTACGATCAGTAACCACTTACTACTTTTTGTTTTACCCTCTTAGCGAAATCTAAACACTAACGTTACGTATGGAAGCCCGTTTCCACCACTGAATAAAAAATAAAAGAGGTAATTGCTACTTTTTATTCAATTCTGTGTAATTCAATTCTCAATTCTTTATTCAATTGATTTTTTTTTTCAATTCTGTGAAAAAAAGTCATAATTGTGAGTTAAAAAGTCATAATTGAGAGATATAAACTCACAATTCTGACTTTTTTTCCCGCAATTGCGAGTGGCGGAAACGGGCTTCCATAATTACGTTACCTGACAGGACTCTGAAATAAATATTGCGAGAAGAAATCACATTCTGTCAGGAGAGCGGCCCGCGGTTTTTTTTTAGCCAATCATTTTGCGCGTTCGAGTTTACCGCGAACCGGTTGGTTGACGTGTCATTGCAGGGCGGAGTTAAAGAGAGAGGGGTGTGGCTAAAGTACTTTACCTCATTTTTAACAGCGTGGTGGTCAAAAATTGACTTTTTTTTATTTTTTATTATGTACTACATTTTAATTTGTTAATGTTTTTTTATTTAATATTTTGTATTTTTTAGCAGATTTTATCATACTAAAATATATTTACGGAATAGTTTTTTTTGTTCATATAGCAAGTGCTTAAGGTAAAAGGTAAAAATTTTCAGTCAAAAATTACCGAACAACAGAGAGTTAAGTCAGTTTATACATTTCTCTGACTGAGAGAATGAAAGGCAGACATCAAATGCATTAGATGTATTTTATTAAAAAAATTAAAAAAACAAATGCATATGTATAAACCATGATAAATATGCATATGCAGTATAACCATACAGTAAAATGTTTATATTCATATAGTTTTTATTTTTAAACATAAAGGATATTTTAGCATTCAAACTGGCAGTGGTGATATTTCCTCGTTCAGTCCATGGCAGGGTCTCCCAAAAGAGAAATAGCCTTTTTTTCCAGAAAAGCTACAGAGCAGCACTGTTCACCTGAGAAAAAATACTTGAAGAGACGCTGTCACACAAAACCATCTGAGTGACGGAGAGAAATCTGCGGCCGAGCAGAGCATCACGGCTAAATTACACAATATGATCATTTTAAATATTATGGGGTCATTCCTTCTATGCAGTATATTTCATGACCCCATTCATACATGTCTGTATATACTGGATAAAACCTTAAAGATGGAAATCACATTAGTTTCCTTTATTGCAATTAAGTGAATTGGTTTGATTGCTGTTTTTATTTTCCCTGGGTCTCTAATTGAAATGTTTCAAATTAAATATGTATATATACGCTACCAGGGAAAAGTTTGGTATAATACAGATTTTTTTATATATATTTTCAAAAAAAGTCTCTTATTATTTGAATGTTTAGAGAGAGAGTGTGTGTGTGTGTGTGTGTGTGTGTGTGTGTCTGTGTGTTTTACTGATTTATATTTATATTCTAGTGTCCTCAATATCACTTTATTAATCAACAAAACTCAGTTTCATTATGTTTTGTGCTGTTGGTTGATCTCTCTAAATCATTCCAACACACTTGATAATATTGCACAAATCTGTATAAGCATAATCAAGATTTCAAAAGATGGTTAAAAAATATCAAAGGAAGTTGATGTCTTCATGTAAACTGTCAGCAATGACTAACTTTAGCTCTATTTTCATTCCGTTCATTGTGTAAATGATCACGATACAGTTAATAAACTTAATAAGTGCCTGAGTTTGAGCAGAGCAGATTTCTGAGGATCTGATGTATGCTTTTATAGAAATACTCGCTGAACATTCATACTGCAGAACAGGAATGACCATTACAAACCTGCTGACGGCAGAGCTGCACGATTCTGGATAAATTGAGAATCTTTTTTTTTTTGTCTCAAATACAGATCACGATTCTCCCACGATTCTGAACTTAAAATAATATGTAATTTACTAGAGGCTGTGACAAAATATTAATTGCTGCAGTCTATTTCAAAGTGTTTAATTAATTTGCATGAATTATTAAAAATGTATATATATATATTTATATTTCATGAACACTTATTAATATTAAAATTATGCAAAATTGGTTTGAATGAATGATTCAATGACTCACTCATAAATACTTGTTTCATTACTGGATGAATCAGTGTTTTTGAACGAATCTCTTGAATGAATGATTCAATGACAAATCCATTTTTTTACGGTCACTTGTCGCCACCTAGTGGAGAAACAATGCAATTGACACAAATGTTATTTAAAGCGCCAGTTACTTTCAAAAGTTGATTTGCTCTATTTTGATCGCAACCATAGACATCAATGTTTATATCCGAGCTATAAACTTTCATCCCAGTATTTCTGTGATAATATGAGTGACTTTAAGACAGAAATAATAATTTGTGGTTAAAAAGACATGCATACTCTCTCTGTGTCAGCGGCAGCGCGAATGCAGATTTGAATGTTCCGGTATGACGTTTTCAAAGATTTATATTTTATGAAAGGTTGGAAAAATTACCCAAAATTAAGGGATTATATATTATAAAGGGTCAGAACAATGGCCAAAGTTAAAAGTTAAAGAAAATATATTTCTAAAGGGTTAGCAAAATGAACACAAGTTAAGGAATTATATATTATAAAAGGTCAGAAAAGTAAACAAAAATGAAGGAATTATACATTTAAAAATTTAATAAAATTATATTTTATAAAGGGTCGAAACAATGATCAACATTATTAAGTAATAATATTTTATAAAAGAGCAGCAAAATGAACAAAAATTAAGGAACTATATTTTATAAAGGGTCAGAATAATTATCAAAATTAAGGAAAACATTGTAGAAAACATCAGAAAAATGAACAAAAAATTAAGCAATTATATTTTATAAAAGAAAATTTAAAAAAATAATACTTTGGATAAAGAAAATCCTGTTTTCGGGAAAATTAATAAAACGCAATTTTAAAAATCTGCATAAATTAAAAGCAGCACAACAAGTACCACCATGATGAGAAATTGGAGGGGGTGAGCTTAATGTATGAAAATGTAAAAAAAAAAAAATAGCGTATGTGTGTGTGTGTGTCTGTGTTATGTGTGTGTGTGTGTGTGCGTGTGTGTGTGTCTGTGTTATGTGTGTGTGTCTGAGAGAGAGATGAGCACCGTTCCCGGTGTGTGTCGTGTCTCTCCTGCGAGCTCTGGGTTCAGGAGTGACCGTCAGCTTCACTCGGAGGGTCTTTCGTTTGCCGTTACACGAGTGATTGACAGAGGCGTCCACCACGTCATAGACAGTGTGCATCAAACTGGACATGTCCTAAAACACACACACACACAACATGAACATATTCTCATGCATTTCACTGAAGGGAATGAATGTCAGGTGTCTGTCTCTGAATGAAGCCTGTATAAATGTCAGTATTTACCTCCTTTGTGACTCTTCCGCTGTTGTCGAAGTCGTAGAGCGTGAAGACCCACTCCTGCCTGTTGTCATCAACCAGAGACACGTTACACTCCAGATCCTGACAGATCAAACACACACACACACGCAGTTACAAACCTGACCAGCAGGAGGACCTCAATGACTGCCAATGCCATATAAATCAACAGTCAGCATTTACTCATGTTGTTTATGTATTTATTTATTGTTTTATACTTTTCTTTTCTTTTCTTTTTTTTTTGGCCAACTAGGGTTATTATGGTTGAAACTAAAACTAAAAAAACTAAAAAAAAAATTTATTTAAATAAACCTGAAATGCAATTAAATATGAACATTAAATTAATGAAAATGAGAAATGTTGCCTTGCCAACTAAATTAATCAAGTTTAATTTTGTTACTAAAATTAGTAATAACTGGAAATAAAAAAAACACTAAAACTGAACAAACTAAAACTGAAATAAAGACAAATGTAATAGTAATATTTAAAAAATAAAAAATAAAAATGACAAAAGCAAAAAATAAAAGATCATTCAAAATATTGATAATAGTATATACTGTAAATAATACAAAAATAACTGCTGTAACCCACAGTAAAACACAGTAATACAATACAAATCAAAATAAAAATGTATCATTTCAAAAATTTCTTTCAAATTAAACTTAAATTGTAATATTTAAAAGGTGAATAAAAATTACAAAAGCACACAATAAAATTACTAAAAATTCAACTGAAAACTTAACAAAAAGCTAATTCAAAATATTAATAAAAATTATAATAGTATAAAATAATCGTAAAATAACACTGCAACCCACGGACAATCTAAAATTTAAAACACAGCAAGGCAATATTAAAAACAAAAATACAAATAAAAAAAATAATTCCTAACCATATTTTCTTTCAAATTAAACCTAAATTGTAATAAGAAAAAGTGAATAAAAATGAAAAAAGCACAAAACAAGATTACTAAAAATTAAACTAAATGAAAATGAAAACAGAAGAAAAGCTAATTGAAAGTATTAATAAAAACTATAATAGTATTATATATTAATAATACTAAAACAACACTGCAACAAACAACCTAATAATTAAAACACATTAATACACTCTTAAATGTATAAATAAAACTAAAAATATATTATTCCAAACCATTATATTTATTCATTTACTTATTTACTTATTTTGTGAAGCAGAAACAGATCCAGCATCCCCTTCACTGTACTGCATGTCAAGAAAATTAAACTAAATGAAAATGAAAACAGAAGAAAAGCTAATTGAAAGTATTAATAAAAACTATAATAGTATATAAATAATACTAAAACAACACTGCAACAAACAACCGAAAAATTAAAACACATTAATACACTCTTAAATATATAAATAAAACTTAAACTAAAAATATATTATTCCAAACCATTATATTTATTCATTTACTTCTTTATTTTGTGAAGCAGAAACAGATCCAGCATCCCCTTCACTGTACTGCATGTCAAGCAGAAGCTTCATCATTTGTTTTTGCACAGAATAAAAGTCAGACCGGTTTGGAAAAACATGAGGGTGAGTAAATGATGACAGAATGTTTATTTATGGTCAAATGACTCTTTTAATAAAGGAAAGATTGAATCTGTACAGGTATAGAGTTTCGTTGGAGAGGATGTATACGGGAGTTTTGCGTGGGATTATACAGGCGCTTTTCGTCTTCTTTTTAACCACAATTCTCAGTTTCAGCTTTTTGGCAGGAGATGCAGTTGACGGGTATCTGGTGACGAGGATGATAATTGTTGGAGTAACGTCTGGAGATGCTGCGAATGTGATTTCAGGCCTCTGGCAATGCGTTCGGATGACACTGATGTGTCTCATTCATTATGAGAGCAGAACACACACACACACACACACACAGCTCTGTTACTGCTATTTGAGCACAAAATCAACTGGAGAGCACATTCTCTGGTATTGGGTTAAAGGAAAAATGACAGACTATGTAGACCAGTGCTGAAACTAAAACACTACTAACATTTCTGTTATTTTTTTCCTCAGTATTTTTGTCTTGTTTGTCTTTTGTTTCCCTTTTAGAGATATTTTAATAGAGAGTAAATGTACTCTAAAATAGTGCTGTGAAGTCAAATCCCATTTAATGATTCAGTTTATTTGGATGATGAATCAGTTCAGTGAATCGGTTCAGTGAATCAGTTCAGTGAATCAGTTCATAAAATGATCAGAGCTGGGTAGATTACTAACAAATTGTAATCCGTTACTGATTCCAAGTTACATGACAAAAATTGTAGTTAGTAACGTAATCCATTACATTATACATTTTAGGTAATATAATCAGATTTATTATATATATTATATAATAATATATTATTATATTTTACTTAATTCATATTTTACATAAAAGGTTTTACTCTAAATTTCCTATAAAATTGAAGCCTTCTGTCTAAATAAGTTATGTTCCAAATTTGAAGTTGATATGAAAAAAATTGAGGTTCCTTTGAAAGTTTATTTAGGGCGTTATACCACAAACAGCCACCGGGTGCCATCCAAACGCCATTGAATTTTTTTTAATGCATTTTTCTGTCACAAATGTCTAAATTTCTCTGTCAATATTACTTCTATCACAAAATATGGAATCCTGAGACTCAGACCTTTCCAATGATATGTTTGTTGTCAAGATTCTAAAAAGTTTTGATTATAAAAGACCGTAATGCATTTTGTAATGACACTTGACAAATAAATACTGTATTTGTTGTGAACTTACATCTAGACTGATGCGCTTCTTCCCTTTGCAGGTTTCCTTCAGCGCGTCTCTCTCTCTATCTTCAGACGGCCGAAAACTCTCACATCCTTCAGCCTTTTCTGGAGGCAAAACCACTAAACAAACACACACACACACACACACACACACACACACACACACAGACACACACACAGTACTGTGAGTACACTACACTGAGTGCAGTAGGGTCCAAAAGTATAAAAAGTGTCTTGTTTAATGGTACAAGTGTCTAAACATTCTTTAATTAAGATACATTTACTCAAGAACCAAAATGATGAGGATAATAAGTGTTGTTTTCTGAAAACTTAATCTAAATGAAGTGTTTATGATTACAACAAGAACAAGTATCTGCCAAAGGGGTCAGAAAAATCTGATTAATTCAAAGGGAAAACAAATGGACTTTTCTGATTTTATTGGCAGATATCTGGTCTTGTTTCAAGCATAATATTTTAGTATCATTTATATACTACTGTAGTATTTATTCATGTTTTGAATGATCTTTTATTTTTATATTTTCGGTTTTCAGTATTTAATTAAATATAATATTTTTATATATTTACATATAAAACTAATATATTTATTTTTATATGTTCAGTTTTCAGTATATAATGTAATATAATATCATCAAATAAAGCAATTTAATTCCATTTCAGTGTTATTTTAGTATTTATATACTACTGTAGTATTTATTCATAATTTGAATTAGCTTTTATTTTTATATTTTCAGTTTAGTATATAATTTTATACTGTATTTTTATATCTAAAAATAATATATAACTCGAATTGGGTTTTATTTTATATTTCCAGTTTTTATTTTCATTTTAGTTTAAGGTTTAGGAATTTTGTTGTGTGCTTTTGTCATTCTTATTTGTTTCTTATATTTCTATTTAAATTTAGTTTTAGCAATTTTAGTACAATTTCTCACAAAACAAGCCGCCCTATGTCATTTTGCATCTTAAAATCAATGCATCTCGATTATAAGAATGTTTAGACTGGAAAACAGGACACAAATCCAGACGTTTTGTGTCTGTACTCACCCTGTAGAGGGCAGTGGTGGACCTGCATCTGTCCGTCCTTCAGCTCCTGGAGGAGAAACATGGGAAAAAACACAGAGGAGATGAAGAGAGGAGGTGTTAGTTCAATATATAGCCCAGAAACCACAGGAAAAGCAAACACCTCCATCTGAAGTATTTGCTCCTCAGGGACGCTGAAACGATGACGGCGTCACATACGATTAAATCTAACGAGAAACCCTTCCAACTTCAACCCAAAATAACACAGAAACAATTTTCTTGAGGAGACGAGAGCTGATGTTTCTCTGTTGTGATGATTTGAGACATTATCGTGTTCTCATACTGTACTGACAGGAACATTTTGGGGTTTTGTTGCTAAATGGGTTAAATCCAGACATAGACTGAGATCTGTCATAAACACCATCAGGAACAGACTAAATCAACCGCTGTACAGATCCCAACCTGCTCACAGTCGACAACTACCTCAAAAACAACCATCAGATCCACGGAAATCCACCAAAAACCAACCCGAAGCCACTGCAGAAATTAGAAATAGGCAATATTCGCAATGTAGAAGTAGTAGCAGATTTTAAGTCTCTTCTGCTCACCAAGGATGCATTTATTTGGTTAAAAAATAAAGCAAAAACATAAAAAAATTTGAAATATTATTACATTTAAAAAAAACAGTTTTCTATGTGAATATCTGTTAAACTGTAATTTATTTCTGTGATCAAAGCTGTATTTTCAGCATCATTAGTCCAGTTTTCAGTGTCACATGATCCTTGGAAATCATTATCATATGCTGAGAAACATTCCTGATTATTATCAATGTTGAAAACAGTTGCATTTTATTTTTCATGGTAACGGTGATGCATTTTATTTTTTAGGATTCACAGATGAATAGAAAGTTCAAAAGAACAGCGTTTAGGCTATTTGAGATCTTTTGTAACATTATAAATGTCTTTAATGGCACTTTTGATCAATTTAATGCATCCTTGATAAATAAAAGTATAAATTTCTTCTTATTAAACCCCCAAATTAACATTAGTGTATACATTTTTAAATTTGTAATTTATAAACATAAATCATTTTAAACATCTTTTAATTTGTAATTGAAAATACTTTTACTAGTATAAAAAATACTAATTTGTAATTTATGCACAAATCATTTTTAAATTTGTAATTTATAATTTACACACAAGCATTTTTTGTAATAATTTGTTGACATAAAATTAAGCAAGACTGAATATCACAATATCACATTGTGAATATAACAATGATTTGAACATGTTTCATGTGATTTTTATTCCACAATTTTAACATATGCTTCAACACAATCTGACAGTCAGGCAATCGACCAATGAGAAGCTCCGAGGGGCGGGTCCAGATGTGTTTTCTAGAATCCAATTAGCTGTATTGATATCAGACAGATCCGCCTCCCAGAATGCAACACTGCGATGATTTGCAGCAGCAGGGCGGCCATGTTTTCTTTAAAGTCACATGTCTGTGAACTCATTACCACCCAGCGCAACAGATGCATCCCAGATCTGACCGCCCTCTGCATTTTAAAGACTAAGACATGGTATTTTACCCATAATGCCGTCACCCACTGAGGCCCTATAAGCAGCAATGTGTGGGCCATATGCTTCATTAAGACAGAGCTGGCTCCAATCCACAGCTGAAGAAAAAACAGGCCCTGGTTTCTTTATTGTGTCAAACTCTCATCAGAGACTGGAAGTGCTCAAAGGGCATCTGGAGGCAAATCCACGTGTTCTGACGGCCTAGATCTGTGAAATAAGCATGTGGCGGCTTTAAAATGAGTCTGTGGCGTATCAGTGTGTTTGTTTCTGCTTCATGCGGAGCGGCTTCAGATGTTTCATATATGATTAACTAAAAGAGGCCAAACCAATTGACCAATTCAACTATCAGCTACAATTAGAGTTTTTTAAAGTTTTAGTAATTTCATGCATATGTATGTATATATGTGTGTGTATATACACTGCCGTTCAAAAGTTTGGGATCAGTAAAATTTTTTAAAGGGAGTCTCTTATGCTCATCAAGGCTGTGTTTATTTGATCAAGAATACAGAAAAAAACAGTAATATTGTGAAATATTATTGCAATTTCTAATATTGGTTTCCTATTTTAATATACTTTCAAATATAATTTATTTCTGTGACGCAGCGCTGAATTTACTTCAGCCATTACGCCAGTCTTTACTGTCACATGATCCTTCAGAAATCATTCTAATATGTTGCATTATTATCAATGTTGAAAACAGTTTTTGCTGCTTCATATTTTTATTGGAACCTGTGATACATTTTTCAGGATTCTTTGATGAATAAAAAGTTAAAAAAAGAACAGCAACAGCATTTATTCAAAAAAGATTTTCTAACAATACAAATCTTTACTGTCACTTTTTATCAATTTATCACATCTTTGCTGAATAAAAGTGTTAATTTCTTTCAAAAATAGAAAGAAAAAATGTACTGACCCCAAACGTTTGACCAGTAGTCTATAATGTTTCAAAAGATATCTATTTTAAATAAATGCTGTTTTTTAACTTTTTATTCATCAAAGAATCCTGAAAAATGTATCACAGTTTCCAAAAAAATATGAAGCAGCAACATGTGACACTGAAGACTGGAGTAATGATGCTGAAAATTCAGCTTTGATCAGATATTCACATAGAAACAGCAATTTTACATTGTAATAATATTTCACAATTTTACCTTATTTTTTTATGAAATAAATGCAGACTTGGTGAGCAGAAGAGACTTCTTTCAAAAACATTTTAAAAATCTCCCTGACTCCAATCTTTTGTGCAGTAGTGTATGCATGTGTTGCCAGTGTATTACAGACAGTAGCTGACGTTCATCTGGCTGAGTAGCGAGAGTCTGGCAGTAACATCCCTGCCGCTGGTCTCCGTCCAGACCGGACTCAGATCCAGCGGTCAGCTCTGCGCCAAAGCATCCACAGCATCTCACTAATGTTGTAATCTCTGCTTTGGTCTTGGCTTCTAGCTAACCGAAAATACACAGGAGACTCTCACTTCCAAGAATCGGTCAGATCCAGTGTTCATCGAACACACAGGAAAGAAAATTGGTGTAAATGTGTATAACAGCATGCTGCAACCATTTATGCTGCAATACGATAGAAACGATTCAACAACGATAAAAAACGAGAAGAAAACTATTGCAAAATTGCTCATTTGTAGCATTCAAGCATGCATACAAAATCGTAGCAAGGACAAGTTGAGCAATCAAAGACTATATTAAAAATAAGTTGTGAATGCGTCTCTTTGTGCCATTTGATTGTTTGGGGGCGTGTGCTGATCAACAACACGGTACCAGCGTGCCACAGATGGCCGAAGGGCTTTTACAGTCCAGCGCAGAGAGACTTTTCACCCTGAGGTCAGATGTGAGGCACAGCGTTTTCTTGGCAGGACATGAAGCGCTCCAGAGGCCTCAGAAACAACAGCTGTGGAGCGAGTCTGTTCGCTCATCTGCGTCAGAGGCCCGGCCAGACGTTTGAAGTTCCCCAGGCCTGTAAATCACAGAACATCTCCTGGACTCGTCCAAAGCTCCCTTCTGCTGATCTCAGCCACGGCCCACTGGAATACCGATGACCCGATCAACTATTTCAGCTCGTTCATTATCGCTCTTATCTGCTTCCTCTGTAAGTGTAACATGCTGATGTTTATCTGCTGGAGAAAATTAGACTCATTCCATCAAACCCACTGCAGAACGAGCTACAGGCCAAAAGCTTCTGGTGTTCAGATTCATGAGCAATTCACTGAGAATTACTTGTCGTTAGTTATGAGATAAAAACTTAAAATTATGACAAAAAGCTGAGATTATTAAAATACTACGTCAAAATTATGTCAGAATTAAAAGGTTGATATTATGACATAAACTGAACTTACTAAGACACTAAGTGATAACTATGAGATACAAAAACTGAACTTACAAAGATACAAAGTGATAAATGAGATAGTCAAAAATACGTCAATTATGAGAAAAAAGTTGAAATTATTTTAAAAGTCATAAATTATGAGATACTAAGTCATAAATTATGAGATAAAAGGTAGAAATTATGACATAAAATGCCAAACATACTAAGACACTGATAACTATGAGATAAAAAGTCAAAATTATGTCAAAAATGAGATTTAAAAAATAATGATTAAAAAAGTCATAAATATGACAGGTCATAATTATGAGATAAAAAGTAGAAATTATGACATAAAATGTACTAAGACACTAACTGATAACTATGAGATACAAAGTCAAACTTATGGCATACTAAATCATAATTATGAGATAAAAAGGTCAAAGTTATGTTATATGATGATTATGAGATAGAAAGTTGAAACTATAATATGACAGGTCAAAATTATGAGATACTAAATCATAATTATGAGGTAAAAATCAAAATTATGACAAAAAGCTGAGATTAAGATACTAAGTCGCAACTGTGATATACAACTAAAAATTATGTTAGAATTATAAGATAAAAAGTTGAAATTATCATATAAAATGTCATAAATATGACAGGTCTAAATTATGATCCAAAGATATGAGATAAAAAGTTAAAAGGTAACAACTACAAGGTACTCAACTACTAATGAGGGCTGTGAGAGTGTGGAGTTGAGATATTGTGGCACTTTAATTTAATATAAAATGTCATAAATATGATAGGTCAAAATTATGAGATACTAAATCATAATTATGAGATTATGAGATAAAATCATGATATAAAACCTGAACTTACCAAGACACTAACAACTATGAGATATAAAGACAAATTTATGACAAACTAAATAATAATGAGTTAAAAAGTCAAAATTATGATATAAAAAGCTGAGATTACTAAGATACCAAGTCATAACTATGAGATCCAAAGACATGAGATAAAAAGTTGAACGGTAACAACTACAAGATACTAAGACATAATTATGAGATAATTATGACATCAATATTATGACAAACACTCAAACTTAATAAGACACTAAGTGATAACTATGAGATACAAAGTCATCATTATGACATACTAAATCATATTTATAACT